CAGTTTAAAGCTCCAAAAGCTATAACCATTGATCGGACTCTGCCTGAAGAGCTGAAGTGCTCAGGAAGCAATTGTTTCAATGACAAAATCTTCACAGCAGCAGGCATCAAATGTTCATATAATCAGTACAAAAGATAAGTGCAAAAGGCTTTATAACCAGTAGAAAACAAAACTAAAGGTATGCTGATGAAGGCAAACTACCACCATGCAAGGTAATTATACAAGTTACATTCCAACTATCCTTTCCACAGAGATATCAGGGTTTTACCCTATTCCTCCCTACTTATCTTTAGAGACTGGACATGCATGGTATGCAAAATGTTTTTATCTCGAAATGCCAAATCCCTTAAAATACCAGACCTTTGATCTCTCTGACCTGAAGTGACAATAACAGAACATAAGAGGCAACAGCTGAATTAGCCATAGCCATTAGCCTTGGCATACTTGCAGTAACAAATGCGTAAATGTATTGCAGTTCTGAACGATTCAAAAAATTATGCAAGTGTAAGGCTTGGCTTGACAGCGGAATTATACAGAATCAAGTTTTTTCAAAGCTGGCAAATTAAATTCCTATTTTAAAAGCATGCAAGAAAGTTGTGGCTTATATAGTACCTGTATCAGTTACTAATTACGAAGTTAAACAGTGCTGTGCATCTGTATTTAAAATGTCACTTATGGATATTATTTCTCAAGAAAATGGACATTACTTCCCTGCAAGCAGAGTATCTGGCTAAGTTGGAGAGTATATGCAAAAACAGCACTTGATCTTGACAGCTTTGGCACATGCGCTTAGGCATTGTCTGTGACAATTAGGCATATGAGAACTGGATACGTGTAGGCGTCACATGCTGCAACACCACTCTTTCTGCAGGCACTTGCTTCTGTGATTCCCAGTACCACCTGCCTCAGACTGCAAGGAAGGCACACCTCCTCCATCGCTCGCTACTTGGCAAGATATTTCAGGATCATGGCAAGGGCTGTGATGAACAAACTGGAGGCACAGGGCACTGGAAAGGGTACGATCAAATGATCCACAATGCCCTCGATCTGAAGGCAAAGAGGAGGGGTCTGGTAGTCGGCAATCTTTAAACTGCTGGTCATCTACCAGAAGCTACCAACATTCCGTGAGCGAGATGATTTTCAGCATGATGAAAGAGAAGGAGGGCTACATGCCAGGAACAGACATTCCTCTGGGAAAACAGCAGATTTGAAAACCTGGGAAAGCTATATTTAAGTGCAAACTGATAGGGCTTAGAGCCTGGGTGAACAAGAGACAACATCCACGAGTCACAAGAGAAAATAGACAACCTCCCATAAATAGTTCCACTTCTAGATGAGTCTGACTGGTTTGTTATAGCCCTCGGGCTGCTCTCTGGCTCTGCATAAGGCGGGACATGCCAGAAGCTCTGCACGATTCCCAGACTTTGTGCCAATAGTCTTCATACACAGGCAGCCTTCAGACCCCCTGACATGTGGCTATGCAACTCCAAATCATAGGCAATGTTTGCCAGTATCACCTTTCTACACTCTGCACCTTTTTCCCATGAAGTAACTAAAACTCTAAACTATTCAGCAAGGCTGGAAGTATGAAAGTGCTTTCTGATCATGATCAGACCCTGCCTGCCCTCCCCACCAGCTTTCTGGGGCCATCCAAACTGACCATGAAACTGCTGCACTGTCAGAAGGTCCTTTAAACTCCCATGCCACCTGCTTCCTGCATCTGAGGACATCCACCAGCCAGCAGCCGGGTGGCCTACGGACAAAAAAGAAAGGGCAGACCAAATGACAAAAATGAATGCAGGCAATGCCAATGGAAGCACCATTTAAATGGGTGAATTCTCCCACTGACTTTGGTGAGAGCTGGATCACACAGAAAATGAGGAACTGATATAAAGCACACTAGGGTTTTAATCATACCTCTCCCACTACCCTGCCTGGAAAGCTCTTCCCAGATGTGGTAGCTAAACCACGGTGTTTCCTGATGCAAATTCCTCATAGAAATACACTTCTGCCATCTAACAGAGAAACAGGGCCATGATTCAGTAATTGAAACATACAGAGGTGTAACTCCTAAAACATGCAGTCACATCACCCAGCCCACCTTCCCTCTGCTCAGCTCTGCTCTTTACTCAGCTCTGGCCCCTTCTTATATCGGAATTGGGTGTACCTGTGGAGAAGGTAGCATTGCTGACTGTAAGCCACTTCATTCCTTTCAAAAGTTGTCTCTGCACTTACAGACTAAATCTGGCTTTTAGTACAAGGTATCAGAAAGGATACATCAATCCTCTGAAAGGCAAAGAAAACTATGGGGAAGAGAAAGATCCCCTCTCAGAAGTGGTGCAGGACATGGATTTGTTGTCCACTCAGAGCCTGACCTCTCCCAACCTTGGCCAGCCACACTGATCTCCATTTACCCCCGGGAGGGCAGTGGGGGGCCTTGCCCTTGCCAGGGACTTGCCCACACAGACGCTGCTTCCCTGGCAGGCTGTGCTCTGCTGCAGCACGAGACTTCCATTAGGCTTTCAAAGCGCAGCTGCTATTTCAGGGGTCCAACGTGCTGCATAGCATGACACCGCCTTGCCACAACCAACCTGTTTTCCCCCAACCACTGCTTATTTTTCCTTCCTCTGGCCCCCCACCTCTAGTCCCGTGCTCAAGGAACTAAACACCCGGCTGCAATTCCCAGGTGTACACAGCACGGTACAAGAAGAGGAGGTGGAAAGCACTGTGATGCAACTTCAGAGGACCCAGTCCAGGATCAGTAACTTGCACAGGTACCTGCCAGCCCCATAGCCTGGTGGGGCCACCGCGGGCTCTATGGCCCTAGGAGGGGGTCCCAGCTTCTCTGCAACAGGCTCTGGCAGCAGTCCTGCTCTGCTGCCCCTGCAGAGCCATCACCCAAAAACATCCTTCCCCCACAGCAACGCAGTGCTGTCATAACGAGCCCTGACTGGGAGGCTGGGTACTGAGCAGTCTCTTTCCTGGGATCACTTTGATTTGCAATAGCCATTTACAAAATGGACACCGTCACTTAGCAAAACACATGAGAAGGAACTGATGTGGAATACTATTTCACTCCTTTAGGAATACATCATAAATGAAGTCGTCAAATTAAATCTACAGTCCATCTGAGCAACTGAGGAACACAAGTTTCTGTTATGGCTAGATTTAAGGTCAGCCATCTCACTAAACAGCATCTGTTTAGGCAGTATTATTATGCTTGACGAGAAGCACTCCTTGTAGAAAGCTTTTCTGTTACTGGTAGAATTCGTCTTTGGATGGTCCTCTTTCAAATCCATTTAACAATATTTGTCCTGAAAATAAACAAGGTATTCCCCAAATATTTGTACTAGAACTTGATATACTCGATTAGATTTTCAAATAAAGGCTCAAATATAGAATGCAACAGTCACCTGAAACATTAACACATCTTTTGTAAAATGTAGAAAAAAGGATCCAGGTTTTTTTCCAAAACAAGTAATTCAGTTCAACCTTGTTAATGCAATTGGGCCTCTATTTTCCAAACAGTTGATGATTGTGTTTAATTTAACCCCTACATAAAATTATGGCCAGGCTAGTTTTTGCAGCTCTAATACTCCCCAGAGAATACTCTGTGATGTAAATGATTTGGTGGCATGGGAGAAGAGGCTTCCAAAGAGTTTACAACCTATGCCTCTTCTTCTGCAGAAGCTAACTGCTTATGCGTAATTTAATTTTATGCATATAGATTTATGTCCCTTCCCATCACATAATATTGAGATGCCTCTGACAATATTCCTGTGTGATAGGAAAAATATTGTAGTCCTGCCTTTGCACTAGAAAGCCCACAGTATCCTGTACTCTTTACAGGCCTTAATGGAATTTTTGCCTGAACTGCTTGTATTTTCAATTTCATTTTGTGCTGGTATGAAGAATCAATAGAGGGAGGTGATGCTGAGGTACAGTAATTTTAAGTGTATAACTATTGGGCAGATGCTACAACTTTAATTATATAAGCAGGCTCCTGTGCCTGTCCAAAACTTCAGTGATAAACAATCAGCTTATACAGTGGCAGCAACAAGGATCAGGATCCATGAATTTATGTCCATAAACATTGACTGCAGCAGCAGAGCTAATAGGGTATATCCTCAGAAGCACATCCCATATAGATACCTTGCTAAAGGAAGTCCGCTACCTTGTTAAGAACTCACTAAGTTATATTGTTTTACATGGGATTTTCACATAGATGAAACACCAGTCTCCAAATTGCTTTCTCTTTTTTTTTTTTTTAGCTGAATGTATATAATGAGCTAAAAGATAAAAAATACACTCATTTTTTATAACTCAGTTTTTACAATTGCCAAAGTAATGACCTACAGACCAGAGCAGATCACTGTCAATGTTAACACAGAGGTGGTCAGAGATGGGGTTCAGAAAGATAGTACCTGGTGTACTGGCTAACAGATAAACAGTAGTTGGTAACTTCTTGGTCAGTTCCAACATCTCCCTCCAGAGATACCATCTCTGAGGTTTTGCCTGCAAAGGGAAGTGGAACTGCTTTAATTATGCCAGAATACATTTACTACCTTGGGAAGCAGTCATGCCAAGACTGTTAATGACAAGCAGTACATAAAAGGAAACAATGTGCAATGCAAAGTGTATACATATCCCAGGTTGACAGTTAAGATTACCTTAGTGTAATAATTTTTCTCAAAATAACCCAAACATTCTGAAAGAGTTAACATTACAATTTAGGCCCATTCCTGGCTGTGGAGACAAGTGTGTTAAGGAATTCCAGGTGAGTATGAGGCAGTCTCTGACTCTGGCTCTAAAGGAGCTGTAGAAGCTTCTTTTGGGAGCCGTGGGTACCACCATGCACCTTAAGATCTCCTGACACATTCTTTGCAGAGCCCAACCTAAAACATGACCACTCTGAAACTCTGCTTAAACCCCTCTTTGAAACAGGCACAGGGAATCTAACCACAATTTCTGGTTTTAGAGCATTTTAATGAGGGTTCTGAAATGCCCAACCCCACCCCACTGTTATCTCATATTTCATAACACTCTTAAATTTGTTATTATTTCAACTCGGTACAGTCACCTTACCTTCTTTGTCATACAGATCCTTTTTCTTGTGTTGATGGCTGAGCTCTCCCTAACAATTTCATACAGAACAGAAACCTTATCTCATCCATGATGTCTCTCTGTACTGTCTACTGGGAGGCATTAACTGCTTTCTCCTCTTAAAAAGTGTGACTCATGCATTCATACCATACAATTCTTACCCTACCTGATAATTCTTTTTTGTAGAAAAATATTTTGTTCAGAGGGCTGGGCAGGCAGAGACATCACAAAAACTGGATGCAGTTGCTTTCAGTATTTATTCTTTACTGATGTGTCAAATAACTTTTGGGGCAGGTCACCTGAATGAATGCAGTTCAACAGGTTGGACATGTCTCAGGCTGTTTTCAGTCACAGAACACTATAGGATTTGTTAACTGCCATAGATATAACCTGCACTGTCATAGTGCTATCAAAATACAGATTGTGGAAACCATGGCTATTAAGTTAGCTACATAAAAATTAAAACTACATTTAGCCAAGAAATCAGCTATTCTCACAACAAAGCAAAGCATCCTGCAAAACAATAAAAAATAATCCAAAATAGTATGATAAAAGATACAAGTCATAGTATCTAAATAAATGTTATTTCTGTTCTGAATATAGTAACAAAAGGGTTTGGAAAGCATTACGTAAATAGGATTTCTGAACTATGTTGACTCTTTTCAAGTCCTCATTCAATGCAGCCTCTGGATCTAGGACAAGTAATAATTAGCCACAGCCAGTAAGCAAAGACTGTTCAGCAAGGAGAGTCCTAACACATAAACACAGGAATAAGAATTTTTACCTGTCTGTAGTTATTGGGTTGCTAGACAATAGCACTGGATGAAGATGAGTGCCTTCAGTTGCATTACTGTCCCTCAACTCAACAGATGTCATTTGCATGTGGAAGCTATGGCTTCCACACCATTTTAAAGGAAAACTCAGATCAAATTACAGCAGTCTAACCTGCAGATCATGAACTTTAATCGCGATGCTGGAATGGTCTTCCAATGAGTAATGCTTTAACACAACTCAATAAGCTGAGGCCATACACAGGTGTTCATGTCTTACAGGAAACTAACGGTACATATTTATAAACAAAATATTGCACTCCCTTGGTCTTTATTTGGACAAAAAAAAAAGTCTGAAGAATCACTTTCAGTATCTAAAATGAAGCACCTGCTTAGATCTTTGCAGGAGTTTTTGTTCTCTCAGTAGAGTTCTCGGTAAAATGCACATGGCAGCAAACCCATGTACCCTGTGGGGGTCCTTGCATGTGTTGTGGCATTTGCAGTTCCTTCATTTTATCTTGGGATGTTTAGGAACAAAAATCTAAGTACAGAGAAAACACAATCATTTAAGACTTACCAGTAGACAGATCTGTAAATCTGAGATAAGTGCAAATATAAGAAAATGCCTTAAATGCGAGAGAAAATACTTATTTTCAAGACATTAGAAAAAACTTTGTTTACTGTGAGTGTGGTCAAACACTGACATAGGTTGCCCAGACAGGTTGTGGAGTCTTCATCCTTGGAGATACTCAAAATCTGACTGCTCTGGCTGAGTCTCCTCTCAGCTGGGGGGTGGACTGGACAATCTCCAGAGGGGCCTTCCAGCCTCTGCCATTCTGTGATGAATGAAACTGATTAGTGGATCTGTACTGTCTATGTTAGGGAGCCCAAAACACGTAAAAAAATTGTCTCCAATTCCTCATTTCTTCACAGAAAAATTCTTACAATATGATATTCTCAGAGATTATTTTTAGGTCCAAGTAACATGAAATTAACTTTTTTGTTTGTTACATATTACTTGGCAATCAAAGACTGAGGGATGCAAGAAGAAAGCGGTGGGAACGTGCAGTACAGCCAGGGCAGGGGAAAGATGGTGTCTCTGCCTCTTTCAGCAGCAGCTAACTGCTAGACCAGCTGGATCTGATTCTTGGTATGCACATAAAAAGCAAAAGGTGGGAGTGTGACAGAAAATAGCAACAGAGATATAAGGCAGGACAAGTGAAACTAAAATACTTATGCACGTCAATCATTAAACATGGATTAGCTGCAAACCAGAGCTCATTAATGCAGTCCATACTTCGCACCAGTGATCCACTCTCATATGAAAAAGTTTGCAACACATGATGAAATAGCAAGAGACAGGTGTCATAAATCCACCAAGTCACATGGTCAGGGAGTGATCTCTTGCCAAGAATTGCATGAAACACTTAAATATGAGGCAGATGAGGTCTGAAGGAAAGATCCTGTAGCACTTCCAACCCAGAAAGAAGGTCACAGTTGGGCAGACAGTGAAATAGAAACAGTAATCAAGAAAATGAAGGAATCTGGAAAGTGCATTCTTCTCCTAAAATCATTAAAGGAAGGCATTTTTGTAATTGCACATTTAAGAAGACCACCTCCAGAAGAGTGTGAACATTTTCCATGGTCTTCAGACTAAAAGCTCCTCTCTGGCAGGAACAATGAATCAATTAATTCAAATAAATTTAACTAAAAAAAAAAAAAAAATCCTACAAAGATGCAAGTTAGTGTGCTTTAAGCTGATGCCCTAACATCCCAAAGATGTCAGCTGCAATGTTTTGCATTATACTGCTTTCATTTTTAGGGCATTCACGACCCCTCATTTAGGATGTGCTCTGGTGAACCTTGCAGCTGTAGTGTAAATTATGACTTGTCTGCTCTGTCCTTCCAGAGGCTACTGCCACCACAGCAAAGCCAGCACAAGGGAAAATATTCCCAACTGGAGGCGATTTAGTGCACAGACAAGTCTTTTAACACTTTCAGAAATATCCTTTGATAATAATGCTGTGCTGATGTAAAGTGTTACCACCTGCATATAATCCTCCCGACAATAAGAACTGGCAGAAGGGAAAGTGTGCCCACAGCCCTTTACTCCAGTTGAGAGCTACTGCCCTTTCCTCTGGCAGGGAAGGTGGCTTTGAGCTGAAATGCCAGACACTGACTTGGGCAGCTGCAAGGTGGGCACCTGGTCTCTTCTGATGGCTATGTTAGGCCATCCTAAGTCTGGAAAAGCAACACTCAGGGTAATTCTGGGGATGATGATGCTTTAAGTGACCATGGCAAGATCTGCAGGGTTCATCTGTCAGTCATAAGAGCAAATCTACCTCTATCAGCACTTTAAGTAAATTGCAGGGCTTTGCACTGCAGTAAGTGATATGCAGACCCTTGTATCATTCTATCAACACAGTGGTCAGGGTGGCTGAGCTCCCTGTACTATCACAGTGTGAATCCCCAGAGCTTGCTGCTTGGATTGAACTAACCAAGCAGAAAATCTCTTCTTTTCCCTCATCAAAACCAAGAAAAATAGTTAAGCAATAAAATGTTGCAAGGATCTGTTTGGGAGTTTGTGCTGTAATGCCTTGAGGAAGGAGGCAAAATTATTTAACATTGCTAATGATGCCTGACTGCTGTGGCTATTGAGTCCAACAGAAATGATTGTAAGAAATAGCAGGTAAGATCAGACACAGTCAGTTGATAAACAGCCCCGCTTCTGTTGAAAATGAACCTGTATAAAGACACATGTATAGACATTGACACAACTGTCTATACTATATAGTGGTAAACTTTGAACAAGCATCCCAAGAATGACAAGAATCCAGAAAATAGTCTACTCCTCTTTTTTTACCACACAGGCCCCAAAATGAGAACAATTCAAGAATTACCAAGTACTTTACATGCAGTTACTCCCACTAACATCAGAGACTGGTCTTACTTTACAGACTTTAAATTAGTCTGCAGTAAGAATCAGAGGGATTACTGGTCATGCTACATACAGCATTACACAACAGACCAGGGTTTCTCATGCTTTCCTTCACTACCGGCTCCCTTTACATACCTTTTGTGGCCGCAGACCACCAAGACCTAATTCAAGATTGAAAGCACTAGACTGCCTCCAGGGGCGGTGCTGGGACTGGGAGAGCACCACCTTCACGCTTGTTACTGGAGGCCAGCCCTGAAGAGCCCAGCGACGGAGGGACTTACTGGTGAATCTGAGGGCCGAGGGGAGGGTCACCCGGCAAAGGGGAGGGTGCCGCTGCCTCTCACGCGCATCAGGACAGCCGTGGGGGACTTGACTATGAGAGGAGCATTGAGGGGAGAGGGCTGTGGGAAAAGGAGACACAGTGCTTGCTGCAGGCCAGTCCAAATGTTTCCAGGCTGGACGTTCCCCACCCCTGCTTTAAGCCTTGTTGAGGTTTGAACTCAGCCGGAAGCCAGACGCTACGTGGCCGGCCGTTTACTTCCCCCCTCCCCCGTGAAATAGGGGAGGGACAAAAAAAGAAGAGAATTTATAGGCTAAATAAAAAAGAAATAATTTACTAAATATAACAAGAGAACAGTAACAATAGTGAGTACAAAAAGAAACGGGTACAATGCAGCAGTGGCTTGCCGAGCACGGTGACCGCCCCCACAGCAACAACACGGCCGAGGAGCAGACAGTGTGAGCCCAAGCCCAAGCGAGAGCCCACCTGAGAGAGAGCCCATATCCCTGGGCATGGGATGAAATAATCACATGGTATGAAATAATCCAATGAGCGTTAACTCCATCCTGGTCGAAACCAGGACAAGCCTTCACAGACCCCCTGTGACGACATCGCGGCCCGCAGGGGTCCACAGACCACAGGTTGAGAACCACTGCAACAGACCAAGAACTTCACTGCCTTTTTATACCTTTTCTACAGTATGAGGTATCGGTCACTGGGAATGATGGAAAAATGGTTTAACTGAAGTAACAAGTTACATGCTTCCATTACACACTGAAACAAACAAACAAACATGCTGCTGAAGGTTTTTAAAAAGGATTAAACTATACTGAAATATCATCTAATTAATATTTCACCAATAGGCTGCCTTCTTATTGATTTGATCCCCTTCTCCTTATGAAGTGAGACACAATTTTGAGTTAAACAATGGTTTGCTGCTTTCCTGGAAGACTCACACCTTGTTCAGCACACATCATGTTGTGCTTGCTGGCTAACCAGTTATTCAGTAGTTTGCAAGGTCTTCACAGCTCAAAGGGTGGCTCCATACCTTACTTATTTCATGTTATTTTCTGAATTCATTGATATTCTACTCATGGGCGTGTCTCACGTGACCAGATTAGGTAAGTGTCTATCTGAATTCTTCACAAACAAGAATGACTTTACTTCAGAGCAGCCCATTTTGCAGATGGTGTATTTCCATTACCTCTATTTTACACAATGGGAAATTGAGGTATGGAAAGATAAATGTCAAATATTTCCAATAACTTTGACTGCTCAGAGGCATATAATATTAATTTTTTCAGAGACTGCTTAAAATACAGGTGATACACTGATTTCAGCTGTTTGTGAAAGCTCTGCATGTCTGCAAATCAGACTGAGGTTCTCAAGATGGATACCACAAAATAAGGAACAAGAAAATGAGTGATGGCTTATGAAAAATCTATTTTAACTGACTGACTGCTTATCAGACAGAAAATACGCAGTGGCAAAAGAAACATCGCTGGTTCATCAGGGTAGCATTCAACTGTCTGCATATGAAGCTCTTTTTCTATTCCAGTTTCTAGCATTAGTCACTACACTTTTTCCAATTTCTTCAACAAATGAGGCAATGATCCTACAGATAATGACCTTTTTAGAAAAACAACTCATCCACAGAATGGATTCTAATGGAAAGCAATATTGTTTGAACTAAAGGCCAGAGTGTAAAGAGTGCAAGTAAGAATGTCAAATTGCAAAGGCAACCACCAATAATTCATGAGGATTTAACAAGGAAGCAAATAAAAACAAACAAAGATAAATACCCGCTTGATAAAATAAAAATCTTAAATCAAAATCATGGTCAGCTCCAGAGTTGAAACACACTACACCCCCCTACAACTTCACCTAAAACAGAAACCAGTAACCCCAGCAAATTATCCTTTTCTTTACAGAGAATTGCAGGAAGGAGTTAGAACATACTTGTTGCCAGTACATTTTATGGATATTTCTTGAGAGCAGGAAAGGTTCAACAATCTTCTGTTCCATTCCAGATCTGCATGTGCTCTAACAAGCCAAGCAGAGAACATAGTTTCAAAGGACTAAGGAAGTTCTCTGCAAAAGAAATCTCTTAAGGAGAGCTGTGCCTGCAACAGAAGCAATTCTAATGCAGAACTCCAGTTTTGTATATTGCTTTATCATAAAAATTGGTTGGATTTTTTTGTCAGTGATTACTGTTCTTGTAAAAACTGTGATAATTTTTACTTTTTTCTTTCTCACAATGCTGAATAGCTGCCAGTAATTCATCCTGTAACTGACATAGCTGGACCAACTTTTCATCAACACCAGCACTGCATCCACAAAATCTACATGAGCATTTATTTTATGTACAAACATGCTCATAAATAAGCCCATAAGCAGAATTACACAATTTGTATGCAAAGATGTGGGTTTACACAGGCAACATTTTTCCCTTACAACATTAGAGGTAAAATGTACATTCAAACGTGCACCCATTTTTACTAATTTGTACTTTCATGAAGAACAGGAACAAACATTTACTTAATAAAATACGTGAACATGGCAGTACTGCTTTCTAATGAACAGTTCTAGAAAGAGTGGTATGTTTTGCATTTAACAATTTAACTGTGGGAATGGTCAAAAAAGACAATATACGTACTTGCATTTCCTGGAAGTTCACCACCAGACCACACTTCTCTCTATAACTCCCTCTTGACTTATCATATTTCTGTGTTTATGCCATGTCTACATTTGTGGTGCCAGACCATCTTATGTAGTGTGTAATAAAATATCTTGTCTGAAATATTTCACCTTCTATTTTATATGGTATTGACAGCTCATGAGTTGTATCTCCCTTGAGAGTTTATCCTTTATTTAGTCTGTATGATCACATTATATATTTAGACTGAAAGTTTAGAATAATTTTTCAGCTCAAATAATCAGGAACTGGGTGGCTAAGAACAACTATATTTACCTGTATTATAATTTGACCAGGATGGTCTGGAGAACAATAGTATCTTAATGTGTCAGTCTGTGCTTGATTTGTACTTCTCACACTTTCAATATACTAGAACACAACGATACTACCCTGTCAAAAGAAGAGAAACAAACTCAAACAACACTACCACCAAATTAAGCATCACAAGTACAACTGGCACATCTGTCCTGCTAAACAGAACAAAGCCAGGAAGTTAGTCTGAAAATCCTGCTCACTCATTCAGCTTAATTTTGAGCTGAACCCCCTGCACAGTTTAGGGTACAGCCAGCGCTAGGGACCATACCCCAGAAGCGGGGTTTGCCTCCCTCCACCCTCCGGACCGGCCAAGGCCACATCGTCAGGCTCGCCCTGCGCAGACACCCCGCACACCCTCACACCCTACCCTAGCACACGCCGCCCTTACCCTCACTTTCGCGTTGTGAAAGCACCGTGACAGGTGGTCCTACAGCTTTTGAAATACTCAAAGCGCTTGGAACTGGGGGAAAGCAATAGCCTACACAAGAAATACTTAAATGACGCTTTAGAGCCACGAAGTCGCCACCTCGGGGCTGATGAAGGTGGAGGCCTCCCTCCACCCGGGTGCCCGGAGTGACGCCGGCCCCACAGCCTCCTGCCCCGGGCGATGCTAGGGCAGGAGCGCTCCCCTCGCCAGGCCCTTCCGTGGGGAACCGCCGTGAACTGCCGTGCCCAACAACGAAGAGCCGCACCGCGTCCCGCCAAGGGAGCGGGCCCTGTATCCGCACCAGGATGGCCGAGTGGTTAAGGCGTTGGACTTAAGATCCAATGGACGTATGTCCGCGTGGGTTCGAACCCCACTCCTGGTAACTGCCATAGATATAACCTGCACTGTCATAGTGCTATCAAAATACAGATTGTGGAAACCATGGCTATTAAGTTAGCTACATAAAAATTAAAACTACATTTAGCCAAGAAATCAGCTATTCTCACAACAAAGCAAAGCATCCTGCAAAACAATAAAAAATAATCCAAAATAGTATGATAAAAGATACAAGTCATAGTATCTAAATAAATGTTATTTCTGTTCTGAATATAGTAACAAAAGGGTTTGGAAAGCATTACGTAAATAGGATTTCTGAACTATGTTGACTCTTTTCAAGTCCTCATTCAATGCAGCCTCTGGATCTAGGACAAGTAATAATTAGCCACAGCCAGTAAGCAAAGACTGTTCAGCAAGGAGAGTCCTAACACATAAACACAGGAATAAGAATTTTTACCTGTCTGTAGTTATTGGGTTGCTAGACAATAGCACTGGATGAAGATGAGTGCCTTCAGTTGCATTACTGTCCCTCAACTCAACAGATGTCATTTGCATGTGGAAGCTATGGCTTCCACACCATTTTAAAGGAAAACTCAGATCAAATTACAGCAGTCTAACCTGCAGATCATGAACTTTAATCGCGATGCTGGAATGGTCTTCCAATGAGTAATGCTTTAACACAACTCAATAAGCTGAGGCCATACACAGGTGTTCATGTCTTACAGGAAACTAACGGTACATATTTATAAACAAAATATTGCACTCCCTTGGTCTTTATTTGGACAAAAAAAAAAGTCTGAAGAATCACTTTCAGTATCTAAAATGAAGCACCTGCTTAGATCTTTGCAGGAGTTTTTGTTCTCTCAGTAGAGTTCTCGGTAAAATGCACATGGCAGCAAACCCATGTACCCTGTGGGGGTCCTTGCATGTGTTGTGGCATTTGCAGTTCCTTCATTTTATCTTGGGATGTTTAGGAACAAAAATCTAAGTACAGAGAAAACACAATCATTTAAGACTTACCAGTAGACAGATCTGTAAATCTGAGATAAGTGCAAATATAAGAAAATGCCTTAAATGCGAGAGAAAATACTTATTTTCAAGACATTAGAAAAAACTTTGTTTACTGTGAGTGTGGTCA